TCATGACATAGTTGAGTACATTCTAAGTCAGCAAGACAAAAACATTAGAAAATCTATTAATGCTTTTCAAAATTTACTATGGCAACAAACTCAAGGAGAAAAAAATCCTACATGGTGAGATTAAAAAAAAAATTAGCAAACTAAAAATATAAAAGAATACTCTTATTCCAATAAGGTATGGCTCACTAAAGTAACCATGTCAAATATGAGAAATTACAGTGACATGGAAGCAACATTCCCTAGAAGACTTCACATGAAACCAAGGAAGCTCATGATCCCGGCTTCTATTCAGTGTTATGCTGGAGATGCATGTTAGCACTGAGTGGGGAGTGCAAGGTGCAGGATAGGAAGAGAGGATGTCATAATCACTCCAGAGCTACTCGAGAGTTAACTTAGAGAACGAGCAGCTTTCCTTATTTTTTTAACAAACATTTATGTGGTATTCAATATACAGCAGGCACTATTCTAAATAGGTTAATAGGAAAAATTAAAATAGTTATTGATCACAGCTAAAATTCCATTATACTCCCTTGCACCATCAAAAAGAACAACTCAAGACTTAGAAACATTACATGTAACAGAAAAAAAACATAAAAACAGAAAGTAACAAAATTTTCATAAGATAGAAATGGAGAAAATTACAAATTTTTGAGGCATATTAAAAACAGATAAGTGAATGGAAAGATTTACCATGTTCATGGATAGAAATATTCAATACTGTGAAGTTCTCAAAACTCTGCAAAGTAATTTATAGATTTCATGCCCTTCTCATTATAATCTCAGCAGGACTTTTTTAATAAAATGTGGCAAGATTGTCTAGGCCTTATAATAAAGAACAAAGGTCATAAAGTAGTTACAAAAATACAGGTACAAAAGAAAGAAGAAAAAAGATGATGAAAATTATGATACAAGGTATCACAGTTAGTTATGTCAGTACTTTTAAAACAACATAATTGTGATGGCTAATCTTATGTGTTAACTTGACTAGGCTGAGGGATGCTCAGACAGTTGGTAAGATGTTATTGTGGATGTCTCTGTGAGGATGCTTTTGGATGAAATTAATGTTTGAATCAATAAACTGAGTACAGGATATTCGACTTTACCAGGGAAAAGAAATACACATTCTCTCTCTCCCTCTCTCCCTCCCTTCTTCACTCCCTCCCTCTCCTTGGGCTGGAACATCCGTCCTTTCCTGTCCTTGGACCCTGGAGCTCCAGGTTCTCAGGTCTTGGACTCCTCAGTCAACACCAGCAGCTCACCAGCCTTCAGGCCTCAGATTCAGACTCAACTACACCAGAATCTTTCTGGCTTGCAGACGCCAGATCATGGGACTCCTCAGCTTCTATAGTTACAGGAGCCAATGGTCATAATCCATCTCCTCTTATATCTCTCTACATCCTATTGGTTCTGTTTTTCTGGAGAATCTGGACTAATAAGTGAATTTATGAGCAAAATAGAAATCTGGAGAGGGTTAAGAAAACTGTTTCACACTCATGGGAGTGTGATTCTTGCAAAGACTGGGAGAAAACGTGGCTGCATCTGAAGTTGGAAACGTGAGTACCTGTGTCTCCGTGGCCCAGCTATGCCACTTCTAGATTTCCAGTTTAGAAAAAGTGCTTCCACAAGGGCCTAATGATTTTCATAAAGACAGAAGGACAAAATACTGGAAACAACTAAAAGTCTATGAAAACAGGAGACTGTGTGAATAGTAATTCATTCATTGGTGGGGTAATAAATAAACAGTACTACACATCTCAACCTGAATTAATCTCACGAGGAACATGTTTAACATACAAAGCCAGTCATGAAAAATGTAAGATGTAAGATTCCCCTTATACACGTTAAAAAAAAATACACAGACTGATCAATACCAAATATTGAGCAAACCTCCACACATTTGTAGTAAAACACGAATAGATATTTGGGAAGAATAAACACCAATGCAGTCAGTGATAACTTGAGGAATGGGAGAAGGAAGCGATGGAAGTGAAGCCTTTGCTTTGGTGGCATTCGCCACATTTCATGTCCTCTGCTAGTGGCTTGTATTCATCTGTCATCTGATTATCTGATTATTCATAACTGCTTTGAAATATTTCATTAGGCCTTTAAAATAAATACAGTTAGTCAAAGGGACAAGAGGTTCAGTGAATGAGCAATAGATAGAAACAAGGGAGAGAATCTTAAATGGATAAAGAAACGGGCCCCTATTTTTGGTGTATGCTCTGAATACAACATTATTTCAGAGTATAAATTGGAAAAATTCCCCAAAACATACCACAAAATTAAAAGTGTTTTAGTATGACACAATCAATCATGGTTAGTTGTTTTGCTTTTGTTTTCCTATTTATGCTTTTTTATAACTGCATTTTAAAATATATATGCTGTTGGGCTTCACAATTTCTCTACTGGCACAGGATGAGAAATAGCAAATGAAATAATGCATCTAAGTAACTTTTAAAAATTAATTAAAATGTGAAATGCAGACAACCTTCCCATCCAGTCAACCTCAAGGAGACCCAGCTGCTGACGAGAGCTGACCTCAGTGTCTGGTTGAAGACGTCAAGAACAAGCTGTTCTCATGCATGGTCCTTGTTTCTTTCCTCCATAAAACAACTAATTGAATTTGTCTGGGCTTGGTTTTGTCTGTCTCCACCCAATCTCTGGTGCCTGTTGGGGGCTTGGCCCACAGTAGGTGCTCCCTGTCCATTAGCTAAACAGATGACAGTGGACATGGCAGCCGATGCTGGTTAGAAGTTGGCACCTGCCAGATGGAAAGGAGAAAGACAAGGCAAGACACCGTCATCCCCTGACTCTCAGGCACCATCTGCACGCACAGAGCATGAGAGCCTCTCCAGCCGCAGTCATGATTCGTACTAGAGCCGTGCAGAGAGGGAGGATTTTGCTACTTTCATTACATGAAATGCCCAGATGTCTCTAAGTTCCTAAATAAATATTCTATTGATAACTAAGTCTAATCTTTAAATTTCTGATACTCCTGAATATTAAAGAATGTCATGGGCCGGGACTATTACCACCAATAACAGTTATTTTGTAAGCACTGAAGTCTTTTTCAACAGATGACCAGAAAAACTGTAGATGGGACTATTTCATTTCATTCCACAGTTTCCAGCAGCTCCTTTCCTGAGCTGGGCCTGTAGCCACAGACCCTCAGCTCAGGGGGGAGGCATAGGAGCTTCCACCATGTGGAGCCAACAGTTCTTTGTCTGAACCCACCTGTATTAGTGTGTTTTCATGTGCTGATAAAGACATACCTGAGACTGGGCAATTTACAAAAGAGAAGTTTAATGGACACAGTTCTGTGTGGCTGGAGAGGCCTCACAATCATGGCAGAATGTGAAAGGTATGTCTCACATGGTGGCAGACAAGAGAAGAGAGCTTGTGCAGGGAAACCCCTGTTTTTAAAACCGTCAGATCTCGTGAGACCCACTCATGATCGTGAGACCCACTCATGGTCATGAGAACAGCACAGGAAAGACCTGCCCCCATGATTCAATCACCTCCCACCTGGTCCCTCCTACAACATGTGGGAATTCAACATGAGATCTGGGTGGGGACACCTAAATAATCTTATTATTTTTCAGCCCCTGTGTTATCCACGTGACACCCTCTGTTACTGATGCTTAAGGAGTAGCTTTCTCATTCCCATATCATGTGCCTTCATCAGCTCCCTGAACAAGGGGTCAGCTCGAGCTGCACTTCCCCAGCCTGCAGGGTTTTCGCACATGAAGCCTCAGTCTCTCTCCTGAGCAGAACGTCCTTGACAAATGCCAAGTAGGACTTTTTAACAGGGCCATCTTGCTTCTCCTTCAGAACATGAGCACACGGAAAAGTTGGCAGCAACTCAGATCCACAAAATGAGCAAAGGACTTTCCGTGCAGGTGATCTGTTGGGCGGCCCATTTACCCGTGCAAAGAGAGAGTTCCAACGCATGCTTCAAGAGCACAGTGAATTTGCCACTACTGTTATTTGGTCTTATTATAGATGTACAAAAAAAGAAAACATTTTGGAAGGTGTTCCAGTCTTAATGGGAAATACGGCCTATAAATTTAAAAAGATAGCCAAGCAGAACAATCCACAAAGTGGCAGAAATGTGAAACCTCTTTTCCTAAATATACATTATGTCTTTAAAACAGTACACACGCAGCATATGTCACTCATTGCATATTGATCATTGAGGAAAAAACTCAGATAGATAAATATAGATAATTAGTACATGTAGACATATTTTAAATTATTAAAATAAATATATGGGCAAACCACATCTTTGATTTACATAAACATTGAGCATCTAGTAAGCAGCATTTAAAATGTTTTTGAAGCATTCTTCCTAATTCCTTTCTGCAGATCCTTTTTAAATATCCGATTCCATTAACTTAAAACCCTGCCAGTGTTACAGTTTCCAAGGAAGAAGGCATTTTCATTACTCTGACACTAAATTAAAATCTTTCTTTGTCCTTCTAGCTAATGGAGAGCGCCGGCGTTGCCAGCCCAGCACAGTGGCGCTGGAGGACAGGGATTCTACCAGAATCATGAGGGCAGCCATCCTGGGACGGGGGAAAAGGCACAGCGTTTGACTGGTGAGTCTGTTTCTTGTCTCCAGGCTGCTTTGTGCTTTTCCCCCGGCATTGTGGCCCCTCCGTCCCCAGATTTATAGCATTCTGCAAGCGTTGCATAATAGGGTATTTCCATCACTGGCCCTGGTGCATGAAAGCCACACTGCCGGCTTGTCATTATCACCAGTCCGGGTTCCTTTCCAGTGGAGTAAGGGAAACTCCAGGCCTGGACTGGAAGAAGCTTATCTCCATCGGGGAAATGTCTGCAGGTGACTGAAGCTTTCATTCCACCATAGCACATTTCAAGAGCACATACTCACTCACCCTAACACTTAGTAAGGACCCGTTTACAGGAAAACATTTATTTTGAAGCCTGCGTCTCTGCCAAAAGATACAGAGTGCTAAGATGTTCCATTCCTTTTTGAGGAGATTCCGCTGGCCTTTTAAGCAAGAAATGACTTCACAGTCGAAACTTTGGTTTGGAAGACTCTTGTTTCAAATCTCGGCGGCATCCAATAAGCCCACCTCATCAGCTGGTGGTAAGCACCTAGGACTTGGGCCAGTAGAACCAAGGAAAGAAACACACTAATTTAGTAAAAAGGTATCATAAAACATCAGATCTGCTGTTTGTGGCTGTGGGTGCTTTGGAATGTGCACACACATGAGGTTTTCCTCTCCCTGCCACTTCCTCCTTCTCTTCCCCCTCTTCACACAGAAGTAGCTGCATATCAAGAATTGGTCTTTCCCAAAGCCTAGGCCTTCAGGAGAACTTGGAAGTTTTCAGACAAAAAAGAACGGTGTTTGTAAACCAGGTAAGTCTTGGAAATGGCATCTTAGAAGTGGGTGGGATAGGAAAAGGACCCCAGTGCATGCCAGCACCATGACAGACCGAGACCTCTCCTCTGTGTGCAGAGGGGAAGTCTAAGCATTTGGAGACCGTTGGAGCCAGTTCTTTGCTTCCAGGCATGAAATAAAGAAGCATCAGACAGGAATATAAGGTGTGTTTAGGAAAACCGGGTCACCAGGCACTTTCACAAAATAGTTCTGGGGCCCGGCCTGGTGGGTGTTGTAACTAGAAGGTAAGCGAGCAGAGAGATGGTGGCCTCAGGAGGTCTGACTGAGAGGATGAGCTTTGGAGCCAGGCAAGAAGTTCAGATGACACTTGTCTTCCTAATGCTGTCTCGCCTTGGGCACGTTACTTCACATCTCTGTCCTTAAGCTTCCTCATTTATAAAATCACACATCCCTCTGAATTTATTGTGCAGATTAAATGAGTTAATATTTACAAAGCATTTGAAGCAGTGCCTGACACCTGGTAAGCATTATATAAATACTAGGTACATAACCTATTGGCCCCGTGCAAGTCTCCTAAACTGAGGCATACATCCCAAGAATAATTAAAGTTAGGTTTACCCCAATCTTAGTGAAATTTCAGCTCAGAAATACAAAGAAATAGCATTTTCAGTAATAAGGCTAGCGATAGTTATTGCACACAGAATGCATGGACTGAGATTTATAGGCAATATCATTGCGGATGCAATGACTTTGAAAGGTTTCCTCCGGACGATGCCTCAGTCTTTTAGTTGTGATGTGAGTGTGTGGGGGTGTGTATGCATGTGTGTGCACTGTGCACACTGTGCGTGCATGTGTGTGGTGTCACATGTGTACGAGCTGCTGTGTGTGTGCATGTGTGTATGTGTGCATCACGCACACTGTGCGTGTGTGGTGTCACATGTTACATGTTGCTGTGCTTGTGTGCATGTGTGTGTCGTGTCATATGTGTATGTGTTGCTGTGTGTGTATGTGCGTGTGCATTGTGCAGACTGTGTGTGTGGTGTCACATGTACGTGTTGCTGTGCTTGTGTGCATGTGTGTGTGCATCGTGCACACTGTGTTCATGTGTGTGGTGTCACGTGTGTGTTGTCCTTGTGTACATGTGTGTGCATCATGCACACTGTGTGTGTGTCTGTGTTGTGTCGCATGTGTATGTGTTGCTGTGTTTGTGTGCGTGTGTGTGTTGCAGGTGTGTGTTCCTGCACGTGATGGTGCCCATTGCTGGGCTCATTCTCAGCCCCTGAGAGACAGTGCTCACAGATAAACTAAAATTCCCACTCCAATTTGGTCAGAATCAATTTACATGTGAATGTGTGGGTAACGTTTCCTTAACCAAAAATGTGAAGAATTGTGCTCTTCTTCTCATGCTAACAGGCAATAATTAACAGTGAACTGGTTAAGCTAGTTTTGTTTTCCCCTTGTGCTTGTTTAAGTCTTTGTTGGTCAGGGCCTAAAATGTGCCTCAAGAACTGCGGAAGAGCAAAATTCGGCAGAGGGAAGAGGAAGGAGCAGAAGATGGAAAGAGACTGGAAATATGTTGACAAACGCATCAGACTCAGAAGTGGCGCCCGGCCTGGCTGTGTTTTCACAGAACCCATTCCCAGTCTTTCTTCACGGCACCATTGCAGCCTCCCCTTTCACGGAGAAGGCTCCACTTAAGGAACTTGCCTTCGGAAATGGAAGACACGAGGGAGGTTAGAGGTGGGTCCCGAGACAGACACTGAAGATAGAGAACAGGAAAGGGTGAAGCTGAAGAAGACCAGCACATTTGTGTTCAGAACTGTCTGTTATCACAAGAACAAGCTCAGGCTCCTGCAAGAACAGGCTCAGGCTCCTGCTGCCAGAGACTGAGGTGCAGTTGTTTGGCTTCTTAACAAAAGCAATTCAGCAACCAGTTGTGTTTTTTTCTTCCCCCATACCCATGTGTGAACATGTACATATATATTTGTTTAATTGTATTAAAATATCTTTTTGCTTAGCAAAATGTGTCTAAAGTTTTGATAGGTTTATGAATAAAGTTAAAAGTGATCCAATTTCAATTAGTAAAACAATTTCAAAACTTACTTCTTGATATGTTGCTTTATTTTAGCAACTACCCTGTTCCGTCTTATGGTTTGACTGCAGTTACATATAACTATTCTTGCAACCCATGTTAAATGAAGACAATTAGACAGAACTTGAAAGCAATGTGATTACAGTGTGCACCACATTAGTGGGATTCATTTGGCTCACTGCATAGCCTGTTCTTGGGTTATCATCAAGGAATACCTGAGACTGGGTAATTTATAAAGAAAATAGGTTTTATTTGGCTCATGGGTCTGGAGGCTGTACAGAAAGTGTGGTGCCGACGTCTGCTCAGCTTCTGGGGAGGCCTTGGGAAGCTTCTAGTTATGGTGAAAGGTGAAGAGAGGGTGGACATCTCAGGGGGCGAGAGCAGGAGCAGGTGTGGGAGGCGCCACACACTTCAACAACCAGATCTTGTGAGCACTCATTCACTATCATGAGGACAGTGTCAAGAGGATGGGGCTAAGCCATTCATGAGAAATCCACTCCCGTAACCCAATCACTTCCCTCCGACATTAGGGATTCCATTCAACGTGAAATTTGGGCAGAGAAATATCCACACCATTTTAGTCATGAAGGAAAACGTGGATTTTTGGCTCAGCCATTTTTTATCAAGAGACCTAGTACCCAAGTAAGTTATTTTGTACTGCAAAATGAATACAATAAAAAGACATCAAATTTATTTACCAGCACTCACTATAAACACAGACCTTACTCTTTAAAACTTATCATCCTGTCTCAGCCGGGCATAGTGGCTCACACCTCTAACCCCAGCACCTTGGGAGGCCAAGGCAGGCAGATCACTAAAGGTCAGGAGTTCAAGACTGAGCCTGGCCAACATAGTGAAACCATGTCTCTACTAAAAATACAAAAATTAGCTGAGTGTGGTGGTGCATGTCTGTAATCCCAGCTACTCAAGAGGCTGAGGCTGCAAAACTGCTTGAACCTGGGAGGTGGAGGTTACAGTGAGCTGAGATCGCACCACTGCACTCCATTATAGGTAACAGAGTGAGACTCTGTCTCAGGAAAAATAAAAATAAATAAATAAATAGATAAAACTTATCACCTTGTCTCAGGAAAAAAAAAAAAGCTAAATGAAGGAAATGGACCCAAACCCGATGAGAACATGTTTGAGGCTGTGCTTAGGTACAAGATACAAAGTATCCATTGTAGTTGTTCCAGAAGAAATGACTCAGTGCAGCAGGGGCTAAAAAAAGGTGATGTAATTGACAGGAGAGGAGCCCAGAGCCGAGGGGGTCCAGGGAGAAGTCTCCACTCGCTGGGTTGCTTGGGGTTTCCTCAGATGGGGAGAGACTGATGTGGCCTCCTTTTCACATGAAAAGTGCTCCCTGAGCACCATCTCCGTGGGCTTGAACAGGACCTCGGTCTCTCGGGGCCTCCCTGAGTCCTCCTGAGGTCAAGGATCAGCTTGTGACTTAAAAGACGCAGAACTAGCTCCCAGCCTTGGTGGGACGGCATCTTGATTTGTGCAAAGCAAAAGGAAATCACATAATATGACTTTGTCTTCAAAAAGGAAGATGGAGTGAGTCTGATTCCGGGGCGGGACTCCTCTGGGGGCGTGAACGCCAACAGCAAGGCTCAGATGTAAATACGAGACCACCTGTGCCCACCATGAGAGGAGAGCAGCCCCGCCCCTGGATGAGGGGGTCTGTGAAAAGAAGTCTTTTGTGTCAGGGACCCCAGTCTCTCCTTCACAAGGTCAGGAAAGCCGATGAGGGAAGACGAGCGGAGATTCATCTCCACCCACAGTAATAAAACATCAGAGCTGGATTTCAGGTTGAAAAGAGAAAAAACATAAACAAGTCTTTTCTAAAAAGCATATTTCAGTGAAACTATATTGTTGATCTTTTAATGAAAACCTTTTTTTCAAACTTTTATAAACTATGCTTTGTTGCTTCATTTTTTTTTTTCCTGGAATGTTGGAAGAGTTACGTCAAACCCTTGTAACCCAAGGTGCTATGGCTTCTTCCCCTGGGAAGATGGTGTAGCCTGCAGCTTCCCACCCCACACTGTCCTGCCTTGAGTGCAGGCTCAGCGCCCGGCCTCCCGGGGGCCTATGGAGGCAATAACACTCATTTCTGCATGGTGAGCTGTAAGTTGTGGATGGGGGCAGATATCCCTCCCTGAAGAAAAGGACAGAGTCCTATAAAGTAAATGCTTTTGACGGGTTTTTCCTCCTGCTGGGATGCTGATGTGATGCCTGGAGGTGTGGCAGCCATTCTGAACCTAAGAGACAATGGGGTGTGGACAATGGAAGACTCACAGTTCCCGCTGACATCCTGAGTGCTCAGAGCCTGTCGCTCCCTCTTTCCAATTTCTTCTAACAAACGGTTAAGAGGGAAAATATTGTTACTTAAACCATTCTTTGTCAATTTCCGATTCTCTACAGTTGAATACACAACTATGTAAATACAATTGATTTGTATTTATGTTTAGAAATCTGCATTTATAAATGCATGACATGACTTGGGCAGTTAAAACAGGTTAAAATCCAGGGCACCTGTAGGTCGTAGTAAGCAGCTGTGGTTAGTTAGTACCTGTTCCCAGGCCTGCACTTTGCTTGCAAGAAAGCACCATGGCCAGCACTACCTCAGTCTTCCAGGAGTGGCCTTGATAATGTAAAAAAAAGGATGAAATTCACTGTAATAATATGTTTGATTTAGCCCAGGCTATTCCTAAGATTACTATTCCAGCATGTACTCAATATGACAATATTAATTCGATGCTTTACATTCTTTCTTTCCTACAGAGTCTTTGAAATCGGTGTGTGTTACACCTACAACATATCCCACATTGGAGGAGTCACCCTCCCAGGGCGAGATGGCCACACAGGCCTCCTGGACACCCACACAGGTAGTGAGGATTTGAGTTTCCACAGTAACCAAAGCCCAAACCTTCCCCTAACCATACAATACCAGAAGTCGATAACTAGCTCAGAGCATGAAATCAAAAATCTAAAGTGATAATAATAATTTACTGAAAAATGTATTTCGATCTTCACAAGTTTTAACAAGTATGACCTCATTTAATTTCTTTCCCTATAAATGTAAGTAACGGTAGCGCTCATGCCTTAACTTTTTGCAAGACTTAAATAAGATGCTGCTTGTGAAGATGTTTTTGTTGCTGTCTTACGAGCACTTCTGAAACGTTTGCTAAGCTTGACCAAACTCTGAATCCCACTACATTTTAAAGTATTGGCATCA